TTATCATTCTGATTTCCTATCAGCTTTTGAACCGCAGAAATTATTTTAATTGAACAAAAAGAAGTTTCAGATAACATTTTTCATCTCACGCATTCTCATTTTCTTTCGATGTCTCTTTATTTGTCTAAACATTCTTTTCCATCTTTATTTCTTTCTTTTTCGCAATCTCTCCCCTTTTCCTCTTTATTTCTCTCTCTCTTTCTTCCTCATTCTACTTTCTCTCTCTCCCTTCGTTTCGAACTTTATTTCTTACTTTCTTTCTTATTTAAATGCTTAATTTTTGAATTAATATTCACTGATGTTTAGATATGCTTAAAACTGACAATTTGTTATTTTTCGAATAAAAAAAAAATTGTATCCTCTGATGAATCTGAGGATTTGATCTCAGGATGTATTCTAACCTTCACCAAGAGAATGGATAGCGGTTCAGAATGAGAAATCGGAGGACCGAGTTCGAATTCCATTCATTTACGTCCAAATACCCGTGGATTCATTTCCTGCCTATCGGATTCGTTACATTTCTCAAGATGAAAAATACCCTATAAAAAAGATCAAATAATTTTTCCTGTCTCCAGCTACTGGATAAATAGAGAATCTTATATCTGGAGAAAAATCATTGTTATTCACAAAAAACAAAGTGTTTATGCAAGATACACTCGCAAAAAGACAAAAATAAATTCTTACAAGTCAACATATATTTCGGCCTGAAATAACCCACAAATTCTTGATGAACTATAAAATCAAATTAATCAATGACCGAAGAGCAAACTTTTTTTTATTAGGTTGCCATAATTTTCTGACAACCTAATCAGACAATAGAAAATTATGGCCTGTTATCAAATCCACTCGATGATGATTGAAAGTATTCAAAACATACAAAGAAGAAGAAAAATCAAATCATAACTGAAATTTATTCGCGCAACTTAAAGACATTTACGGCAAAGATAGTTTCCTGATGCAGTCTGATGTTTCTTTTAGTATCAAAGAAATTAATAAACACTGTTTTTTAATCTGGAAATAAATAAGATCTTATCTCATATAAGCAGAAATAATATTGTTCAATTACATGACTTCGTTGAAGCATACTTTATTATATAAATAAAATAATTGTTTCGAATTTTAATGTATACAGAAAACAGTAAAATTGCTTAGTAGTCATATAAATCTACTATTAAATGTTTCTTTGTTTCAGACTCAAAAACTTTGCAACTGCAACAATAAAATAGATAACATATGGAACTTAGTTGCACCCATACCGTTGTAATCAAGATGTTGATAACCATCACAACCTCAAAACAAATGCAAGGAAGGAAGCCCCCATCAATATTGGAAATGTTTTTTTGTCTATATGATAAAATTATATATATAAAAATATATATTTTCTTATAAATTGTTTGAAGACAAATATTTAAACAGACAGTAATACTGGATGTTCGATCAATGAATTCGTTTTTATTTTGTAAATATATTTCATCTATATATATAGGCATTAAAGCCACTAAGTATGCGGGTTAGTGAATTTGAAATAATATGAGAAAAGAAAAACATTATTAAAGAGAAAGAAAAGTAAAAGAACAGGAATTAAGAAGACAAGATAACAATAATAATTGAAGGTCAAAGTTGATTGGAAAGTAGAGTTTCACAAGCGAATTATGAGAGAATACACTGTGGGTATCATAGAACTTACAGTTGCATCTCTAAATATCATGGATCTTTCTAGTATTTATGGCGGTTTCTTTCCAAACCGTTTGTTTAGGAGAGAGGATTGGAACCTTTTTAACAGCTTCATTATGTCAATGTTCTCATTTAGATTTGAATTCGAACATTTTGTTGATTCTTTCAATCCAATAATATAGTCTTTGTTATTTGATAAAATATTTTTTGTGATTAAAAGCAAGTGAGGGTCGGGGGAAGTATATATATATTTTTATATATATATATATGATTGAAAAATTTGTTTTGAACTCCTTATCTCCCCTTTTCTTTCTATTCTTTTTAAGCCATTTATCTGAGAAAACTGTTGTATACACAAGATATTTTTAGAATGTTCGATCTGAAGATGGATGCTATTCATGAAATAAATTATAATGAATGGATCATTAATTTTTTCGTGTTTTAGATCTAAGCAACAATCCATTACCTTCTCCTAAAACATCCTTGCAGATGCATGTTGGGATTTCGCATTAAGGAATAAAATGTACCAGTTTTCCATTTCATTGAGCCCTTCTCAATAAAAAATTTTTTTACCCAAATACACGTATTTAGTATACAGTGCTGTTCGATAAAAAGTGTCTCACCTGATTTCTTTTTAATAAAAATATTTTTTGTCTATTGTTTATGTGGTTAAAATAATTTTTAATCTTACTAATATAAAGACCCCTTCCCGACCACCTAAGAAAAAAGTTTATTCACCCTAAGGTATTCTATTGATAGTTATAAATTTGGATATAGATGAGATTCAGGAAAAAAGTGACTCAGATATCGCATCCTAATGATTAAACTGGTAAATGTAAAGAGATTTTGACAAAATACTGAAAACTATTTTACAATACACTCAGAACAATATTCTAGATAAATCTAGAACAGCTTAAATTAAATCTAGAGTATTCCAGAATATTCCAGAAAGCCTCACACAGTATAAAAACAGCTTGAAATAGCCACTCAAGTCACTAACCAGATGAAAGGGTACAAACACGCATCAGAACCACTTAAGGCATCTAATATTGCCCTCTCAAAAGCAGGCAAGTCTACGAGAAAAATTACAGAAATTGCTATAACATCACAATCAACTGTCTCTCGAGTGCTTAGGGCACATAATGATGCAACTATTGCTCCAAGGAAGGAAACAAGGGGACTAAAGAAAAAGATTGACGATAGAACTGGAATCAAGAGAGAATTTGCGAAGAATAGGACTATAACTAGCCAAGAAATTCCAGCCAGTCTAAGCAAAGAGCAAGGTGTTAGTCCTGCCTCTTCAACAGTCCGTCAAAACAAGGTTAAAAATCGTGTTAGAGCAAGGCTACAAATCTCGTACACAAAGGTTTAAGCCGCTAATAAGCAAAGCCAATAAAGCCAAGAGACTTGAATGGGCTCATTATTACAATAATTTCACCGTAGTGGACTGGAAGAATGTTCTCTTCTCCGATGAAACGAAAAATGAGCTAAATTCAAGGAATAAGGTGAGTCACTTTTTAACAGCACTATATATATATATATATATATATATATATGAGAAAAAGTAGAAACATTTTTGTATAAAACTTTGTCTACTTTGTCATACATCTTTCCTCCAAAATTCTTCTTAATATATCAAAATGCATATATCGTTATCCTCTCTATCTATCACTCTCTCACCCTCTCACCCTCTCTCTCCCCCTCTCTCTCTCTCTCTCTCTACATATATATATATATATATATATATATATATATATATTATAAAAATATGCATAATGCCCTACGCCGACAGTTCAACGTGGAGTTTCATGATAAGTGGATGATTGCATTGAGCATGAAAATCCGCGTTGTACTGTCGGCGTAGGGGTATTATATATATTTATACTTAATACATCTGTTATTTAGCATTGAGCACTGTTTTTCTTACACGTACATTTATTTATATTTATCCATTTTTATATATATATATATATATATATATATATATATATATATATATATATATATATATATCAGATTTACCCAAACAAAGCAGTAATGTCACTTAGACACAAGGGGTTACTGGATGTGAAAGAATAGAACTAGAAAACAGATATATTACTAAGTAGTGAAAATAATAATACGGTAATTAGGAAGATAGTAGATATCGATTGACTTTGCATTTAAATTTTGAAGATCAAAGTCAACTGGAAAACATGAAGCCGGAAGAAATTTCCACAACTGAGAAGTACGAGAAAAGAAACTGTTACTGTAATTTGATGAGATGTTGTTGCTAATGTCATACCATGCTTAAATTTCTAAAGTCTAGGTACCATAGCGAAGAGCACACCCGAAAAATTACCATAAAATTATTTATAGAGAAAGGTACGTGGAAGCTACCTTATGGTGGTGGGAAAGTGATTGAAGCCAAGATGCCAGGTAAGGACTCATAATATTGCTGACACTTCACTGGATTTCATGAAGAATCTCTAAATATATAGAGCAACGGACTAAGTATAGACGAATGGTATACATATGTAAGATAAATTCTGAAGAGAAAAATTGTCCAGCATGACACAGTGAACCAAATTTCTCAGCAGCAGACCTAGCAATGGATTCACTTTAGTCATTTCACTTCATGTCAGCCGAGAAATTTAGCCCAACAGGCGCAACTCTCCTGGTGGTTAGCATCAGTCATGTTGGTGGAAGGCAGAAAGGGGTCTCTCAGATGTTTAATAGGGAGCAGTTTCGTTTTGGAGTCGTGAATATTGACAAGCAATTCTTTGCCCTAGTTCATCGCAGGCACTCGTTTGCAATCGAGCAACTTCTCTCCCTATTCCCTTTCTCCGTCCGGTGTCGGTGGCAGAAATAGCTGTGAAGGCTCAACCCGCCCCTGAAGATTCTGGGGCAGGAGTCACAGAGGAATGTGGGTGGTAGATGTGGTTGAGCGAATCGGGCCCTTCTGACAGCACGTCGCAGATCCTCTTCATGTTGACGGTAGGGATCGAAATACTCGCCCTCTCAGAAGGCAGATTTGTAGTAATGGGTCTCCAGATCTCAGGATCGATTCTGGCCTGTCCAACTTATCGTTGAAGCGTCATTTTGGGCCCCGATAGCCTTTTGTGGCTGGTGAACTCTCCAATCAGGATAGTACGTGGGAGTCGAGTCTGAATACGTGACTTGCCCAGCAGAGGCGAAGTTGAAGAATAGTAGCCTCGATGCTGGAGATAGACTTCCAAGAGAAGACCTGTAGGCGATGCTGCCTTCCTAACTGATGACAATGTTTCTTTGAAGCTTCTTTTGCTGGAACCCCTCCAGACGTTTGATGTCTAGACGAAAAAAGATCTATGTTTGGCAAGCGTAGAAAGGGTGGAGAAGACCACGACCCGGAAGTCTATTTTTGTTCTTATGGTGAAGCTGTGATTGCTGAAGACCTAGTGCGGGGGTGTTCCGTAGGCATTGATCCTTTGTTCTCTTCTGCACGTGAAAAACTTGCTAACCATTACACCGCATCGAGGTGCCTTGAGAATCAGTACTATGGTGATTTTCTAAGCGTAGCACAAAGATATGGCACAAAGGCAAATGTATGGACCACCCACCGATGATCGAAACTACTGATAACTGATCAAGCGAGACAAGCTTGCTAATCATTACACAATGTCAAATACCTTTTAACTCGAAATTGTGGTCAGACTCTTTATGGTGAGCAACTAATTCACTAAGTGTGTTTTTACGTAAAAGTATCCTTTTGTGTTCATATGATCTTTTGTTTAAATTCCTCGATGTTTCTTCTATGTATTCATTGGGGCAATTATTACAGGTAAGCATTCTGATAAAGGCAACGAATCAAGATATATTATTCTACCCACCAACTCTATCACGACTACAATTGAAAAGAATTTATCTACGCTTAATATAACATTTGTTGAAATGACTTGTAAAACAGTAAGTGACTTAATACAAAAAGATTTAAAGGAGGAATTTATTCTATCAGCTGGGCTAAAACAACGTTTGAACAAACCTGGTATGGAGTTTCATCAATAGTTTGTTGATTAATAATGAAAATAACTAAAAACTTATTCTGAAATTACAATATATATATAAATACATAATCGCCTTCTTTGTCTGTGCAATTATCTCCGCACGGACAAGGAATATTTAATTATTTTTTTATTTAGTTTTTCCAACGTTCTTACATTTTCCCATTTGGTGGAAGTAAAGGCGAGCAAAAAATTGTCCCATGCGCTTTCGGCTACTTGATTATCCAATTTAATTTTCAAATGAACACAACAATTTTGTCTTAGAAAAATGATGAATACAACAATTTTTTTTTTTTTTCTTAGAAAAAACAAGACACTGATGACAACATTGTGCTAATGTCGAAAGTACTTGGAATAATATGAACATGCATCAACATGGTAATTTTCTGTCTTCGTTTAATAATGATACTAGGAATCCTGTCCGTAATTACGAGATGATTCTATTGAAAATAAGTAGACAAAAATTGTCTAAATTATATAATCAGACATGTCTTAATAAAACATTCTGCCAAAATATACGATATATATATATATATATATATATATATATATATATATATATATATATATTTAGTGAGCCAGACAAACCTACCGAAAAACCCTCAGTAGGTTTGTCTGGCTCACTAGGTTTATCTAGGTCTGCTCTACGGTTGTATTGAGCTCTTTTGTTAGTTGTTTACACGTGTCGGGTTTTTTTCTTTGGGCTTCAAACCTGCATCTGTGCGATTTTTTCGACAGACTTTCATGTTTGTAGCTCTTTCTTTTTAAAACTTTTTTCCTCGAGATTGATTTGATTATTGGCAAATCAAAAATTCGTGGGTTTTTCGAAACGAGTATAGTTATCTATATATATATATATTGTTATTAGTAGTAATCTTATAAGTATGAGAAATTATACTCGTTCGGAAAACCTTCAGTGTTTTGATTTGCAAATAATCAAACCCTAACCAAAGTGGAAAAAGCTATAAAAAAAAGAAAGAAACAAAGACATGTACGTTAGCCGAAAATAATCGTCGAGCATACGAGTCCAAGGCCCAAAGAAAAAACACCGATACGAGTAGGCAAACTAACTAAATAAAGTGCTCAATACAGTGAGTAGAGCAGACCTAGTTAAACCCTAGAGAGCCAGACAAACCTACCTACTGACGATCCGCTTAGGTGAAACTTGGTAGGTTTGTTTGGCTCTAGGTTTAACTATATATATATATATATATATATATATATATATATATATATATATATATATATATATATGTGTGTGTGTGTGTGTGTGTGTGTGTGTGTGTGTGTTGTTTAAAATATATAGGGGAAGAGTGATTGGTGATAGAGCGTTCTAGATATAAACAATTTGGATATATGCATCATCAAAATGTATATTATTATGAGTATATATATATATATATATATATATATATATTTAAAGATAGATGGAGGCAGCATAAGTGCTCTTTCAATAATATAAACAAAAGAAATCAGACTTCCCTATCTAAATTTTTTTGGCATCTGAAGGAAACAAATAGGACACCTAAAGTTAAATGGAAAATTATTAACAAGGCTAGAACATATAAAACTTGGGATGACCCATGCCCTTTATGCCTCCATGAGGAATTACACATAATTGCTTCTAAATAATAATAATCTATTAAACAATAGACACGAGTTAACGGTTTTTGTAGGCATCATCAGATTTTTGGTTTGAATTATTAGCTAAAACTAGCATACAATATAATAACTTGTTTAATCCATAGCCCACTCATCAGATTCATGGTTTGAATAATTAACTAAAAACATGCATACAATATAACACCCTTCATAATCCATAGCCCAAATAAATAGTTTAAATACCCTAAAAAAAGATAACCCTTTATGAAGTCGTCAAAAAACAAACGTTACGACGGTTTTTTAGGGTTTTTTTTTTATATGCACAAATCCCTTTCATAAAAAAATAAAATAAAAAAATAAATAAATCTCCATAGACATGCAAACTAGACGAGGGTTAATACATCTTCCGTTTCAAATTTAGACACCCCCACCTTTCCCTGACTTGACATCAACGAAAGTAACTCTATACTGATACTTATTATTAACACCCAACACCCACTTACCCAACTTAAACAATTCGCCCTAGCTGTTACCATGGAAATTTTGATTTCAAATTTTAAAACACGTAAATTTCAGAAACACGTTATTCCAAAAAAAAATTCGCTTGAAGATGGAACAGAGCTAATTTTAACTCAATTTAATTTAAATAATTATATTGAAGTTTTCGGCTCTTGTTTGAAACATGGGACTTCTTATGTCGCGATTTGGAATCACATTTTTAAATAAATAATTATATATATATATATATATATATATATATATATATATATATATAAAATGTATGTGTGTGTGTGTGAAAAGTGTGTATATAAATATAAATGATTATTTATATATTATATGCGCGGTACTTATTAGAAAGCGATCAATATCAGAGATAGAGCTAACATATTTGGTTGAATAGATGTGAGTTTGTGACCCTGGGTTTCACGCTTTAGCGATCGTCAGACAAACTGATTAATAATCAATCTACATAAACCCAAAATTAATAATCAATCTACATAAACCCAAAATTTAAAAAAAAAATTAATCAGTTTTTCTGACGATCGCTAAAGCGTGAAACCCAGGGTCACAAACTCACATCTATCCAACCAAATATATATATATATATATATATATATATGACTGACACACGCGCGAGGGAAGCTCCGAAAGTTATGTCCCAATTATACCTTTATTAACATGGATCTGCAGAAAAGACGGACAAACACCACTGCATATTACAAGTATTTAGTTCCAATATATATATATATACTAACCCCGATTGTAATTATTTTCCCCAGCGAAGAGGAGGAATATTCATTCATTGAGTGACAATTGTGACGGGTCGAACATATATTAGCTTGTCTCAAGGCACTATTGCCAATTGTATTGCCTAGACCTATTCTCACAAACATTCTGCAATCGTCGAGGATTGTTAATAAAGGCTATTTGTTTTGCAAAGGCACATCTCTTCACTTAAATATGTGTTATTGGCATGAATATGCAATTTCTGTTGCCACATCACCAGACCGCTATAACGTCTCTGATGTCGTAGACGATTGGAATGAAAAGAGTCTGGTACAAGGACAGGATTGGGCATTATGGTACTGTTAGAATCATTTCACTAGCTATAATACACGGAAGCTAGTTAGCCAATTCCTGTTCGAAGACAAGCGCACAATATATTCGCGTGACGACCATTTCTTGCTCAAGGAATGGGCCAACAGAAGCGGCTTTTGTCATTTGTGTGGTTCACCATCCGACCAATCAGAAGCCGGGCACTCTGCCAACGTTGGCCAGTAGAGAATCAGTTCAGAAATCGAGCACGAACACATATCGATTAGGTTGACTTTATTCCTGTGTGTAGCAAAGTTAAGCAATCTTAGGGCGCACTGGATCGATAAGTGCGAGGGCGGGAAGTGAAAGTATCTTTCTTTCTTTCTTTCTTTCTTTCTTTCTTTCTTTCTTTCATTCTTTCTTTTACGGCCAAGGGTGAAGCCAATTCTTTCACAGTATCCGAATGGACAACACCAGAAATTTTAATGCTGAAACGACCCTACGATATATTTTTCCATTAAATATATTCATTCTAGCAAATACATAAATGAATAAATGCATGCTTATATATATATATATATATATATATATATATATATATATATATATATATATATATATATATTTTTAAACGTATGTATATATCTATACATTTTATATGTATATTTAAATGTATGTATATATTTACGTATTTAACAGAATGAGAAAAACAGTTGCTATTTATTACTTGCTAGAAATCAAACCTGTTATATTATATATATATATATATATATATATATATATATATATATATATATATATATATATATATATATATATATATATATTTAAGCAGAAATAGGGTCCAAGCTTTGACTTGATTAAGTCATCATCAGTGTATAAGAGAGACAGATGGTGAATTTCCTAGAAACATTGGGTGCAGTGACGTAGGCAAAGAATGTTGTGACGTAGTCAAGATGTGATGTGATTGTGTGTGTGTTTTTTTCCCATCCTCAAATATATAAAAATACATGCAGCGTCTCACTCTTTTCCTGAAATAAAACATATTTATATATCTATGGAAAACGTTTTCGTGTGATGTGTTTCATCTTTTGGACTGCATCTGACTAAATTGATGTTTACGTTTCACTGTGTCATATCGTTTTCCCCTTAAAAAACATTCTTGTTATACAAAAAGCATATATAGTTCCCCCTTATATATATATATATATACATATATATATATATGCACGTGGAGGAATGGAAACATTCCTTGTCCGATATCAGAATATTTTGCTGTATAATGTTCTATTTATGTGATTGCTGGCTTAAGTGCATTGAAAAGGAAGAAGATTATGTTGAAAAAGCAATATTTGTTGCATAAAATAAAAGCTTTTTATCATTATGCTATTGACTATTTGATGTATACAATCACACAAGCCCGGATGCACGCGCGAGCACACACACACACACATATATATATATATATATATATATATATATATATATATATATATATATATATATATATATATATAAAAAATGGCAAAGGGAATTATATCAACATACCTACTTTGATTTATATACATTTCTTTAATAAAAAGCAGTGGAAACTAAATATAAAACAAGGGCAAGATTTCAGATAAATTTAAGATAAGATTTTTTTAATACAAAAAACAACAAACGTTTAAATTGATTGACTAGGAGATGCTGTTTGCTTTCACAATAAATCTACATTTGTTTTTCAAGCTTTGTCTGTTCCTATCTATCTATCTATGAACATATATGTATATTCTTTCTTTCCTTGTGTTTTTCTTACGCAATTGCCTGCTTTTCAAAGTAACGATCGCATTTTTGCTTTTGGTACAATAATCTATTTTCTACTTCCGGAAAGGGTTAGAATTCTGACAAGTGATTTTCAAGACAAGCAGACACTCGCACCTTAATTGATTAGCATACACCATCCTGTTTCCATTTAGTAAAATGTAGATAGTTGTTCTTTTAAAGATGCTATGTATGTATGTATGTATGTATGTATGTATCTATCTATCTATCTATCTATCTAAGGCCATTTTAATCTACAGCGTGGTCCGAAAGTCTTACCAGCCCTACATAATATAATTTTCTATTTCAGATGGCTGACCCGAGCTCCTACACGAAAATGATGGCGTTCATACAGACCTTCTTGATGTGTGACAGCGTCAAGGAAAGTGAATAAACTGAATCCAGTACATGTGTTTTGTATTACTGTATTACTTGTTCTTCTATTGTTCTTATTACTTTTTGCTAGGGGAGACAATTCTTTTGGACCACACTCTATCTATCTATCTATCTATCTATCTATCTATCTATCTATCTATCTATCTATCTATCTATCTAAGGCTATTTGAATGTATCTATCTATCTATCTATCTATCTATCTATCTATCTATCTATCTAAGGCTATTTGAATCTATCTATCTATCTATCTATCTATCTATCTATCTTATGCTGAATCTATCTATCTATCTATCTATCTATCTTAGGCTGAATCTATCTATCTATCTATCTATCTATCTATCTATCTATCTATCTATCTATCTTAGGCTGAATCTATCTATCTATCTATCTATTCATCTATCTATCTATCTAAGGCTATTTGAATCTATCTATCTATCTATCTATCTATCTATCTATCTTAGGCTGAATCCATCTATCTATCTATCTATCTATCTATCTATCTATCTATCTATCTATCTAAAGGCTATTTGAATCTATCTATCTATCTATCTATCTATCTATCTATCTATCTATCTATCTATCTATCTATCTATCTATCTATTTGAATCTATGAATCTATCTATCTTATCTGAATCTATCTATCTATCTATCTATCTATCTATCTATCTATCTTAGGCTGAATCTATCTATCTATCTATCTATCTATCTAAGGCTATTTGAATCTATCTATCTATCTATCTATCTATCTATCTATCTATCTATCTATTTGAATCTATCTATCTATCTATCTATTTCTATCTATCTTATCTGAATCTATCTATCTATCTATCTTATCTATCTATCTATCTATTTATCTATCTATCTAATCTATTTATCTATCTATCTATCTATCTATCTATCTATCTATCTATTCTATCTATCTAAGGCTATTTGAATCTATCTATCTATCTATCTATCTATCTATCTATCTATCTATCTATCTGTAAATTACAGAGACTTTGCGATCCATCACATTTATCGTATGAAAATGTTGAATGATTTTTCTTTTCCTTGATAGTTTTGTTGTTTCTATTTGATCTATCCCAGAATCGATTTCGTGGCATCAATTCTCCAGATTCACTTTTCAATGCACCTACCAAACCGTATAAGCTAATTTGTTGTAAAAGCATGTAGAATCCATAAAGTTCATCTGAATATCTATCCGCGCCTGTGTGGATTTGTACACATGTATGTGTGAAAAGAAGTTATTTCTTCTGTAAATTAAGGGACTGTTCAGAGTTATGAAATCGTAGGCTAAATACAAGTTTTGCATTATATATTTGATTTCCACTCCCACAATAAATACAACATCGTCTGATTTTGATGAAAACTGGATATTGCTATGGTTAGTGTGTGTATCAATTTATCCACAATCAATTTTATTCAACGTTGTTGTAAAGCATGTGTTTAACATCCGCCGTCATCAAAATTTAATTAATAACAAGAAGATTTAATACGGTCCGGTAGGAATTTTATGTTATGTGGAAGCCACATGTAAAAGCGACTAACATAATGGGAGAAAATGATGTTAAGTACTTGATTTCGATAACTTGCTTATTTCTTGCTATCTCTAGTGTCATTGAATAATCAATGTGGTGTCTTCATTTGTTCTTTATCAACCTCAAATTGTCTATGACCGTGGAACATCATCTTCATTTTGCCACGTTTGATCAGTCGTTTTATTTTCCTCAATACCTGCACAAATATTTTTCAGATAAAAAATATCTATCTATCTATCTATCTATCTATCTATCTATCTACTAGCTAGCTAGCTAAACCCGTGTGTATGATATCAATAGTCCAATAACGCACCTAAACTGGCATATGAAAAGTACAAATACCTCTTAATGGCAATAAAAATACTAATAAACCAAAGTTCCCGAGATAACTTATAGAAAAGAACAAAAAAAAAACAATAACAAGTCTTTGAAATCAGGATCAACTTAATCCCGAAATTGTAGTTAAACGTTCGTATTATTTGTAATACGCTTCAATGATTTCCTTTAACGATTTAAAAACATTCTCCTTTGGCATCTTTTTCAAAATACGGCAATTCATTGAACGCTTATATTGTAGATTTTTTGTGAGTTTCTTGTTAATTTCCACATGTTATTTTGTCCTGCTGAGATCGAATATTTACGCCATTCAAATTGCGTGATCAACATTAAATATTTTTATTTCAATAACGTTTTTTTCTTTTCGTATTTTCATTCATAAATCTGAGTTATTATTCCAATTTTAACATTCCAATTTTTTTCCCTGTTTGTTTTTCAGTTCAATCAAAATTCACTTCGCGGTCTTTCTACATTGAATTTTAATAGAAGGATTAGAAATGACTTTGCATTTTTATGAATGGATTAAGGCTTGTATTTTATTTTATTTTTTATGTCGGACTGGAAATTAACTTTTATTGTTGTGATTTTTGTTTAGAAATAAAATATTTGATCCTGTTGGAATTGACATTTTCCTTGATCTCAAAGTTTTGTACCGACTATGTTATCAATTCATCTCAGTAGGAGAAATAGAGAAATATAATCTTCTTTTTCTTCTTCTTCTTTTTCTTTTTCTTCTTCTTCTTTTTCTTTTTCTTCTACTTTTTCTTCTTCTTGTTCTTCTTTTTCTCCTTTTTCTTCTTTTTCTTCTTCTTTTTCATCTTTTTCTTCTTCTTCTTCACATAAGGTGTAAATGATCAGCAAATATAACGAAAGATAATATATTATTAGAAATTCTTAAACGAACAATTGTTAATGACTTTTCTTGACTCTAAGACTCTTCTTTTCCATTCCAACTCTAAAATTCCTAACAAATAAAATGGAAATATCTCTTAAATAATTCATTTTCTTTTCTTTTAAAGGAAATAGCATTTGATATCAATAGATATGCAGGCAATGTGTGAGTTATCACTACGAAATGGAATTTTTCTCTAACTAGCTGTAGGCTACACGACAGAATAGACTGAGTCCTCTCGGTTTGGGTGTCAGCCAGTCTATAAGAAGGAATATTCGGAATTCAAAATTGTGGAAGGATCAGAGGCGAACATTATTTCTCTTAAGAAACAATGGCCCTTCACAGATAATAAAAAAGTCATCTATGGAGGATCATAAGTACCTTTATGTGGAAGGTGCTTGATATTAGAAAATTATGAAATATTTCAGTGGAGATAACGTATCAAAAGAATTATGTAAACTTTATAAGGCTATTGAAAATGAATATATACACGAGCATGCCAAATTTCATGGGTTAGGTACCTAGAATCATGTAGAACTTTCTCTAGCCTAGTGAAGTGCAGCAATTTTGCAAGTGGTTGGAAGCAAAACGCATCATTTTTACAAGAGGTTGGGAGTAGGAAGCAGCATTTTATGTATTACGTAATTTTTTAATAAGATTTATCTAATATTCAGGCCGGTAGACGAAAAATAAATAAATATACCGTTTATTAAATAAACGGAGCGTCTAGTGAAATGCGGGTATCTACTAAAAATAATTTTTAAAGTGATAAAAATTTGTCGGATTAGTAAAAATGCATTATTTTCCATGGAAAAAAGCGCTTTGTTTCGATACTAAACGATGCAGATATGAGATATTTCGGGAGATCTATGGCGAGAGAAGTTTCGCTTAAAGGCACAATTCAACCTTGCTTGATCGACTGTTTCTCTGTATCTTAGTTGGTTAGAGCCTTCCGGGTCTAATTGGCCAGAGAGTCTCAGGTTCGGATCCTGCCAGAGAATGTACTTTTTCTTTAATAAGATATCTCGAACATTTAAAGCGGTAGGCGCAAAATAAATAAATATACTATTTAATAAATAAATGGGACGTTTACTCAAATAGGAGTAGCAATTAAAATAACATTTAAAGTGGGAAAATATGTCAGATTAATAAAAATCCATTACTGTCTTTAGAAAAATACCCAATGCAAGTATCAAACTCATAACCGTCACGTAACCTCAATTCGCTTAAGCAACACTATTGACTAGGCCATTTATTCCATAGCAAACATCTACATAGGTGTTGTGGTAGGATCCACCTAATTTGCATAGTGGAGTACCGACCATATAAATATGTTTGGTACCGGGAAGACGAGGGGAGGAATCAAGAGATTCAATCCAGAGACTCTGCCCGACTGCGACTAAGTCAACACATTCTCCAGGAACGGTCTTCCCAAGAATATACAAAAGACTATATGTAAATATTGTGTACACTTTCTTGTTTCAATACATTTTGTTCTAAGTACATTTTGTGTTGTATTATTATTCCATGCATTAGTCAAGTTTCAACAATAGATAAAGCTATTTTTCTTGTACTCTAGTTGTTGTATAAATATATCTGGCTGGGAGAGAAAGTTGAATTGACTCTTCGTATTTTAAAGGAGAGTAACACTTGTATAGATATGTGAAGCTAGAAAGTTGTTGTTCCTCTTGAGTTAATTGTTCTGATTATAGCAGAAAATAACAATCGAATAAAGCCTTGTGAAAGGTTTCGGCATTCATGACAATTTATTCAACAACTAGTTTCTGCTCTCATCTGAATAAACTCCTGCTTCGTAGTTACACATATTTACACAAAATTACTCACTGTGAAAATGAAAAGACTCAATTAAAATATTGGCCCCAGATACATTATTCACTATTCAACGAAATTACACAGAAGTAAGTAACACAAAAAGTGCCCGTTCATACATGCAATACGCAAATGAAAAATAATAACGGTGGTACAATTAGTCATCATGTACATATACTTGAAAAAACAGCCTATATCGATTTGACGACGAACTGACTGAACCATTGTGCTATTACAGAAACTCTGCCCAATGGAAAGACATACTGATTTCACCATTGTGTTTTCAGAGAACCTCTTCTCAATGGCATAACGAAATGATTAATCAATTGTATTGCTAGAGATACACTGCCGAATGGAAGCTTCTCTTAATCCTTCATTCCCCTAATTTGGTTTAGAGTTTTAAATGAGTGATAAAAGCAGTTCAGTAATGATTGCCTCTGATGACGATATTCCTTTTGGATACAAAGCAAAATTTTGATAACAGACTGTAGATTTTCTGCTATCATGATAACTAATCTATGTTTAAGTTGGATTTTGCCCCAAAAGTTTAACTCAAACAATTATGTCAGCTTTTTAGATGGAAAAATCAGTGTAGAAGGTTTTACTTTGTATAACACAATTCATCGTAGTTAACTGTTGGCCTAAATTAAAATATTTCAAAGGGAATCCTGAAGTGAATAGATTGGCAATAGAAGAAACTTCTATTTACTTATCAATTAATACATTCATTTAAAATCTGTTTCACTCTCTGCGATACAGTGACATGTTTTATCTAAAAGGTCAGTAGGAACAATAAATCAGTTTTAACTTCGCAGCTCAACAGTATCGTTAATACCGCTTCCTTTATTACTGCTCAAAATCCAGCTGTTCATCACGAATTATATCAAGTTGCCTTTTCATCCAGAGAAGGAATTTTATTTTTAATCTATTTTATC